TTTGTACAGGGGCTCACAGTTAAGTTTGCCTTAGATCTTGGAGGAGACTTGGAATTTGGACTTTTCAGCAATGCTGAAACTGTTAAGACTTTTGCAACTCTCAGAGATAGACAAATGCCTTTTTCAAAAGGGATATACAAGTCTTTGTGGGACTAGGGGCAGTATGTTATGGTTTGTGTCTAGATATTCCCCAGAGCCTCATGCAGTCATTGAGGTGGGCTTCTAGAGTTTGTGATTAATTCATAATCCAATGCTGGGATTATGGGTATAAATGCTACATCTGCCCTGGGGTGGATAGACTGAATGCAGTTTAAGGAAGGGAGAGAAGCTTGCCTCTGCTACCACTGCTGCTGCCACTGTTCCTGCCTTTTTCCTCTTGCTGCTTTTCTGTTTTTTGCTGTCATGAACTGTTGCCCTCTGCCATGTGCCACCCTGCCTTGGAGCCAGCTGAGTATGGACTGAAACCTCCACAAACTGTGAGCTACATAAACCTTTTCTGCCTTAATTTTGAGTGTCAGGTATTTTGTCCCAGAAATGAGAGAAAAGTAACTGAGATGGTGTTTCAGTAATCCACAAATTCAGTGACACTAAAAAGATGTCAATATTTCTTTGTTCTACTGATTCTGCATGCACCAACAAAACCCAATCAGAAACTTCCTTAAGAGTAGGGTTTGAGCATGATATTCTGTGTCAATTACAGTGGCTTTCCCATACCAGCTACTCAGAAATGCTTGATGAATAAATAAATGTACAGAATATTTTCTTAAATGCAAGCCTAATGAACTCTTGTCCTTATCTGACACAGAAAACAGATTATTCCATTCATCTTAGTAGCTTTCAGAGTCTTGCCCCAGAGCCCTTTAGAAGATGAGCTCTCAAAAAATACTTGTTGAATCAACTTTCTCAGTGGTATAAAATTTTTATCTGAGTTGCCTACAGGGCAATAGGGCTGCAGCAGGTAAATACGTACACATGGCCTTGATGACATAGAGCCTTAGTTTCCTTTCATGACAATTCAATTCTAATTAACCTGAAATGCCCAATAATGATTCAAGCTATGTATGTTATGAAAACAGCCTGGATACCAGGTAATCTTACTAAAAATTATTCATTTAAACAGTGAGCACAGAAGAGATCCTCCCTAATTTCCACAGAAAACTTAAAATGCAGCATTTTGAACCTAAGTATAAACAGAGAATGAGTTCTTTAAAAGATCCACTGGAATTTTTAATACTCTGCCATAAGAGGATAAACTTGAGACATTTTTAGGTAAGTGGATGCACTTTGAGACCACAGTTTTAAGTGCAATAAAATTAGACACACATATTTAAATGCCATGTTGTTTTTCTGGTGTGAGAAACCAAAAGTGCAAAAATAAGGACCCAAATATATACTAGATATTTGGAAATGGGAAGAAAATGTTCAAATGATAAGGGGAACAAGGGAGTGGGAGGGGGAACAGAAAGAAGGGATAAAGAAAAAAGAATAGAAAAAATGCAAACAAAGCTTTTATGACCAAGAAGAGGAAAGTCTGAAGGGAGGGGAAGAAAATGGGAAAAAAGGAATCAAGATATATCATGTATTATGTATTATGTACCATATGTATTGCTGTATGTTACTCTGCTTCTGTATTTTTGCTGTCTGTTTTTGTTTTTACCCTTAAAATGAAATTGAATTTTAAAGTCATATCATATATAGGTACAAATTACTTAAGATGAATGTGATTATTATATATATCTAAATATACCAATAAACTTTTAAAAAGAAAAAAAAAAGAGCCACTGGAATGTTACCTAATAAATGGCACCCTCAGGTCATTCATAGAATGAAGTGGTGCATATACGCCCTCCTCATCCCACCACTTGTGAGCCAGGGCCAGGAAAGTTTTGACCTCACTGCTGTCAACTGTGGTGCGTGAAGAGCTGTACGGCTGTGTCCAAGGCGGCCTAAGGAAACAAAGAGCACACAAATACTAAAGTTTCTACAAATGTAAAATAGCATATATGGTACATGAAAATATTCTCATTTATAAGTTATTTGCTCCTAAGTACATAACTGTTCAAGGTCTATGCTATTAATAAAAAACAGGCTTTCTTATAATCACATTGTTCAAACAAAACCAATTTGCTTTTTAAAGTAAGTTACAACTAAAAACAATGTTTAACCTTCTGGATCATATCTAATGTTAATAATAAAGACTAACGTCCTTTGCATGGCTTATAAAGCTCAGAATTATTTAATCCCCAACTTCCTTGATCTCCAAACTCACCTGTCCATCCTGGCCTCATGCTCCCCATACCAGCCACCCAGGCCTTCTCTCAGTTCTTCAAACTGCCCATGCTTGCCCTTTTGCAGGCACCGTGTAGATGTTCTGGAACATTCTTCTAATATTTTCCACCTCTCTCATCCTCTACATACCTAATTCATGCTGTCTCACCCTTTAGATCTTAGTTTGAATGAAATACCTGTTATCTACAAATTCTTCCTTCATCCTTGTAAGGGGGAAGTCATAGCTCCCCTATTTTAACTCCTGTACAACTTTGTACTTCCTCGTGGGCTTGCATGACAATTTGGTCACATCTGCCTGCTCACTAAGCACTGTGTAAGAAAGGCATGAACTGTCTTTTTTCTTTTCTTTTTTTTTTTTTTTTTT